ATGTGTCATGTGAATGATGTGATCCTACGCTTATCATGTGGTTTCGAATGTGTCATGTGGCCTCATGCATATCAAGCAGTGCTCCCTCATCTAGAGAGTGGGGACGGAAAGCCAGCACTATGTTCACATTCTTGCCCTGTGACCTAGAGATGGACTCTATTTCCAGCCTCTATTCACAGTGATATTGAGTGATATTGACAGTGCTATGGAATGCATTTGCTGCTTTCTTCTCAGGTGTTCTTGTTCTGCTGGCTTTACTGGCGCTGACTGTGCACAAGACATAGCCGAGTGCGACTCAATGCCGTGCGCGAACGATGGCAGCTGCACAGAGCCTGTGAGTGTTCCATCACGCTACATACACTAGCTGTACAGTTAACCTGCCCGGCTAGCCGGACGCCCTTGGCACAGTGGAAACTGTCCTGATATGACAGGATTTCGCTTGATCCAGGGATGCACGTTTGATCCACAGCACCTTTTTTGCGCATGACGATTTGTTTGGCCGATACAGGATTCCGATTGATATAGGGTCAAGAAGAAATGGAGTATGCTTTTGTTTCGGTGACATGTTCATTGGGGTTGTTGTTTAAAGGGGAAGTTAAGGCAAACATCTAAATTTCACCAGTTGTAGTCTTCGGGGTGCTGAGTCGAATGGTCGTGGTCCGAGGAAGCTGAGATGCTCCCTTCCTACTTTAATCCCAATCAAACTCGCGCACTTCCACCGAAACTGGGTGACTGCGCCCTACTAGATGGGGATTTGTATGCAAAATGTCACTAAAAGCGCCATTTCGTTCTTATAAAAGCACGGATGACCGCGATTGGCCCATATGTTGTACTCTTTTGGACGCTGAGTCGACTGGTTTTGGTCCGAAAAGGCTGCGATGCAGCGTTCCTCCTTTATTCCCAATCGAACATGGTTGAACAAGCGGTCACGTGCTCCTGCGTACACCAGTCACCTGGTCACCGTGCCTGCAGGGTACAACTTACTAGCCTGTTTGACCTTTTTTGGGTGCAGTCCTGTCACTCGAGTTGAACTCGAGTTGAACCTTGGTGTGAAAGTTGTCGCCTGCTGGCGTGGTGACCAGGTGATTTGGGCACCCAGGAGCACGTGACCGCTTGTTCAACCCTGTTCGATTGGGAATAAAGGAGGAACGCTGCATCGCAGCCTTTTCGGACCAAAACCAGTCGACTCAGCGTCCAAAAGAGTACAACATATGGGCCAATCGCGGTCATCCATGCATTTATAAGAACGAAATGGCACTTTTAGTGACATTTTGCATACAAATCCCTAGTGCTGAAACGATTACGCTTTTTCCTTAGTGGCTTAGCTGATACCATAACGATCGGCTTATCGGCTTAACGATTTTTATTGTAACTACATCAGTACATATACATTCTGTGAATTTCAAAACAATTACGAGTCCAATATCGCCAGCGACGGAAAGCAGGCGCATCGATCCGATGATCCCGCAACAAGTCTGTCAGCTGTTCGGACTGACCAGACGAATACAGACATGACAGAGGCAACTCACTGGTTGCAACCCAAGAGCTGATGGTGCCCTTCGCCTGTGACTTTGCTGACTCCGACGATGAAGTCAGAGAAGCCGGCCAGGGGTTTAGATTGGCGGATTTCGACGGATGAGCTGACTTGAGGCGCACCAACAAGTAACTAGTTGCCTTTACTGTCCATGCTCAAAATAGGCCCAAACGCCAGGCCTAGCTCGTCGTCGAGCAAACTTGTTCGGGAACCGTCGACAGAACGGAAAACATGAAACTGAAGACCACTTTACTGTCTTTAGCTCAAGACTACTCGCACGTGGAGGGAACTCCAGCCCCTACCGCTAGTGTAGACACATACTGAGCCTGCCCGTCCTGCATGCTGTATGTAACAAAAGCAGTCAGCTGAAAAGACGGTGACGGTGATTGCGTCGATGTTTCTCAGATCGCGCTTGTACTTTACACGTACAATGTCGATGTAGCAAGTGGACAGTCATATACATATTCGTGTCGTACTCGCAACACTTTCGATCCACGCTTTGTGCGACCCCAAAAGGGGGGAAATCCCGTACAGAGAGTAAGTACCATTCTACTCGTTTACCCGATAAAATCGAAATAACCGTTCGATCTATTTCTTATCGAGTAAGTAACGAGTAATCGATATAATCGTTTCAGCACTACAAATCCCCATCTCGTAGGGCGCAGTCACCCAGTTTCGGTGGAAGTGCGCGAGTTTGATTGGGATTCAAGTAGGAAGGGAGCGTCTCAGTTTTCTCGGACCAAGACCATTCGACTCAGCACCCCGAAGACTACAGCTGGTGAAATTTTTGATTTTTGCCTTAACTTCCCCTTTAACCGTCTGTGGTGAAGCTGGGAGAAGTGTTGGATTTCAATGAATACCAGAGGTTAACCCTGGCTGGTTCTTGGCTATGCTTTCATTGACCTCGCTCAGAGTCCCGGCGGCTATGTGTGTAGCTGTGTGACCGGCTACACTGGGATGAACTGTGAAAGTGACATTGACGAATGTCTAACAATGAACTGCCAGAATGGTAAGTGTTGTCTTGACTACAACTGATATCTCATCAAAACACCTACTAGCACATGTTTCTGTAGTGTAGTGGTTATCACGTGTGCTTCACACGCACAAGGTCCTCGGTTCGAACCCGAGCAGAAACATTTTTTTCATTTTTTTATACACAGTTTGCCATGCTACTGTAAGACATGTATATATAACGAGGAAGCAAATCTAACGTTTTAACGGATGACATTTCTTCGTTATAATAAGATCCGTTGAGGCCGTACTGCTTCATATATGCTGTGTGTGGATATGGCAGAATACTGCAAGATCGTTAACATATCTTCTCGTTAACCTATGAATTTTGGACAATCGTTAAATTTGCGACTCGTTATAATAACATGTCTTACAGTATACGCAGTACGGCATGCTATACGCAGTACGGCATGCTATACACAGTACGGCATGCTATAAGGCCCCGGTCACACCGAAACAAGCCACTTTGAGCTTGTTATCGCTGGCGCTCAGCTGGCTTGCGTGGTCCCTGTGACGCGGTCACACCAGACCTTGAGTGCAAAGCTTGAATGGCTTGTTTTTCTTACCCGCCAAATTTTGAATATCTCGAAACACACCAATGTTTGCAAGAAACAGGAAAGCAGAACGTTCGCGATCTAAAACTGTACATGTTCTAGTGTTCAGTTTTGATGAAGAAGCAAAGGAAGCCCGGATTCTGAATTGCGAAGTCGTGCTCTTTTTATTTGTTCGGTGTGCATGGACGCGATGGTTCGGGTAGTGTTTCCTGATGTCGAGCTTTCTGCCCCGCCGGTTGCCGTTCTTCAACTCAGTTGCAATCCACTCTCTTCTTCGTACCCGGCTTTCTTCATGAATTCAGTCGTGAGTGTGGTGCCTTGTCTTGGCCTCAAACCACAGCTCCAACAATCTACGCAGCATTGTAGAGGCACAGCGGCAGAAATCCATGGTCGTCGGACAAAATCCAAATCAAACGGTTCCACGGACACAAGAAAGAACATCAATATCAGTTCATCATGTCAACTAGCTACATGGTGTGCTCCAAGCGCACTCAAATAATTTTTTGAATTTCGGCTTTCAGCCGCTTGTACAAGCTGTGGCTGAAACAAGCCGGAAAAAACGGCTGAGAGTCAGCCACGGCTGAAAGTCGCTTGTAGGACATTTTTCAGCCATTTCCATGGTAATAGTGACGTAAACAAGCGCTTAACATTCTACTCCCCATGCTAGAGTATAGAGTAGACACACACGTGTGCAGGACGCGACACACCAAAAGACAAGAGAGTGAGTTTGGAAGAATGGGAATGTCGGGCAGAGTAGCTGGCCTCAATTGAGTGCGCGTTAACGAATCGTGTGGTCGGCCTACCGAGGGCAGGAGCTGTATATGACCAAGTGGGTCGGCCTGCGCTGAGCAGGAGCGGTTTGTGACCCATGCGAGTTGGTGGGTCGGCCTGCGTTGAGCAGGAGCGGTTTATGACCCATGCGAGTTTAATAGTAGTGCGCGAGAGGCCAGTTACGGAGGAGTGCCCGCATCCATGTGTTTCAAAATATATGGAGTGGAGTGCAAGAGTAAGAAATGGGATGAGGAGGGTGGGTCAGAATTTGAAAGCTGACTGCAGGCAAGGAAACTGGAAAGACAGCAAGCTCTGTTGTGCGTGCAGGAAATCTGCGCATGCGCAGAGCGTGGGCATGTCATGTCTATGATACACAGCAGTATGTAGAGAGAGCAAGATTGTGCACACACGTAAGGAGGGTTATGCAACCCGTTATAAAGGCCAACAGCGAAGCAATGGTATGTGACTGTTAACAACGGTTAACTCCAACATTAACCGAACATTTAACATTCTACTCCCCATGCTAGAGTATAGAGTAGACACACACGCGTGCAGGACGCGACACACCAAAAGACAAGAGAGTGAGTTTGGAAGAATGGGAATGTCGGGCAGAGTAGCTGGCCTCAATTGAGTGCGCGTTAACGAATCGTGTGGTCGGCCTACCGAGGGCAGGAGCTGTATATGACCAAGTGGGTCGGCCTGCGCTGAGCAGGAGCGGTTTGTGACCCATGCGAGTTGGTGGGTCGGCCTGCGTTGAGCAGGAGCGGTTTATGACCCATGCGAGTTTAATAGTAGTGCGCGAGAGGCCAGTTACGGAGGAGTGCCCATGCCGACATTCCCATTAAGGCCAGAGGAGATAGCGGGTGATAACAGCCAATATAGATGGTAAGTATGTATTGCACAAGAGCGTTGTTCTAGAGGCATAAAGTCAGACTGATATTGTGGAGTAGGATCGACAAAGAACGCTATCTGCATCCTAAGTGAATGTCTTTGCACTTACTCGGTGATTGGCTGGACCATGGTGTCAGGCCGCTCCGCAGCTGTAGGAGCAAAGGTCCTGAAGGCATCCATCTTGTTCCGGGACAGGGCATCAGCGATGGTATTGGAAATTCCTGGCAGGTGCGATGCTCGGATCAGGAAATTGTGCTTCACACAGATTGAGTACAGGGTGCGGATGAGTGCCATGACTGCAGGGGACCGGCTCGTGCCCGTCTTCAGGCACTCCACGACAGCTTGGTTGTCGCACTGAAACTCCACACGCAGCCGCAGCCACTCGATCCCCCATGTGGCGCAGGCCGCGACAATGGCGAAGAGCTCCTTGTAGGTAATGCTTAGTTCCAGTTGCTGCGGAGACCAGTCACCTCTGAACCAGCGACCATTGAAGAAGGCTCCAAATCCAATGGTGCCACTTGCGTCGGTTTGCAACTGGAGGTCAGCGCTGGGCATCCACTTCTCTAGCAGGAAAAATGACTTTCCGTTCCATGTTGACAGAGTCTGGTGCCACCAGCTCAGGTCGCCCTTGGCTGAGGCTGAGAGGTGCAGCATTCGGTGAGATGACATCTCAGATGTGGCCTTGTCGAGGTCATACAGGCGGCGTAAGAATGTACGGCCGGCAGGAATTGCTCTGGAAGCGAACGAGAGGTGGCCCAGGAGGGAGGCGAGTTCGCGTTTGAGAACGCAACCCTGGTCGAGGGTTGTTGTTGTTGTTGATTTTTATTTTGCTTCGCAAGGCCAAACGGGCAATGGTACCCGGTGGTAGAGACTAAACGACGTAGGGCCAGAAGCTTGGACTGAGGCAGACGCACTTCCAAGCGATCGGTGTCCAGTTCCAAACCGAGGAAGGTGAGGACAGTGGAAGGGCCCTCAACTTTCTCTGTGGCGACAGGTATGTTCAAGAACTGGAACAAGTCCAAGATGATGGCCTTGTGCTTGGCCGCCAGGGAGGAGCTTGGTGGGCAGATGTCGAGGAAGTCATCGAGGTAGTGCATTACGTCGGGCAAGGAGCCGACATGGACAAGGACCCAGTTGATAGCCGTTGCCAGCTGGTTGAAGATGAATGGTGAGGAGCGGAGACCAAATGGAAGGACCTTCTCGTAATAGTACATGCCGTTCCAACGGATCCCGAGAAGATGCCAGTCCGAGGGGGCGACGGGACACAGGCGAAATGCATTACGGATATCTACCTTTGTCAAGAGGGAGCCCTTGCCGAGGCGCATAATGGCGGCAATTGCGGTGTCCACGGAGTCGTAATGCAGGCTGAACTGCCCGCGTGGTATAGCATCGTTGACACTGCTGCCATCGGGAGACGACAGGTCATGTATCACACGAAGTTTTCCATTGGACTTCGGCACAACACCCAGACCAGATGTCTGCATGCACAGAAAGGGTGGCTCCGGAAATGGACCTGCTGTTTGCCCAGCTTCACAACATTCGGTCAAATAGGAAGAAACATACTGCATATTACGAATAGCCGACAGGTGATTGGGAGAACTATGAACACCAGATATAGCAGCAGAATGGCCTATCGTGAAACCATGACACAACCCATGCAGCACAAAGTGAGAGAAGGAGTGATCAGAATGACGGTTAAGGAGCCCGGCTAATCGGCGTACATTGATGGGGGTCTCCACAGAATGTTTACGGAGCAGACGCTGAGGTGGCGGACTGTCCCCTGCCACATTTGACTTCTGGGTGCTTCCCGCGGCATTGAAGGCACACATGGGCACGATAGCAGAATGAGTTGTTGCATTGGTCCTTGTTGAAGTTGCGGCAGATAGGCTTCCCAAGATGGGTTGGCGCGCTGGACTGCGGCGGACCTCCACTCCCAGCGCCGACGGATGGAGGCCCTGGTCTAAAGGGACACCGGGCCTGGGCCACTGGGTGCACCAGAGAACAGCGCGAACATGGCGGGCGACCACGGCTGGTGAATGACGACTGCCACAAATTAGAGTCGATGATAGCCCAGTCGTACGACAGTGGTTGGGAGGCTATGGCGCGCCGGAAACGCCTGTCATAACTTAGCCATGCGTCCACCTGATACGAGTTATTTGCATCCAGAATAGTGGCCTGATATGCCAGCAAATCATTCGCCCTATCTGGAGCCGCCGCGACAATTACTCTTGTGTAGACAGTAAACGCCTCGAGCCATGACGCTACATCGTGGACATGGCGGCGCTGGGCCTGAGTTGGCTTCTGTACAAGTTGGACAGAGCGGTTGGCCCCCACAGCTAGCTGGACCACATCGGGCTCCACACCCAGCTGGTCCGGGAGGAGGTCGTCGAAGTCAATAAACTCGCCGCGTTCAATTCGCCCGCGGAGTTTATCAGGTACAGAGAGCGACGGACGAGCAGCCGGCAGATGGCCCCGGAATGCATGAACGGAGCTGGAGTTGACAAGCGGCACGACGGCTGCAGCAGATTCCAACTGCTCTACTCGCTCCATCAGGGGCTGGAGGACCTGGCCGACGGCCTGAGAAACAGCCGAAGCAAGTACATCAGGGACCACACTCAAGGCGGCGGCAGAAGAAACTGACGGCGCAACGTCGGAGACAACAGAGGCCGTGGATAATGGAGTCCCGGTTGGTTGACGACGAACAGGAGTTGGCCTCGCACGCGCATTACTGCCTGCAGCCGAAGTTTGAGTTGCCGCCCCGGGATCAGGGACCACATTCAAGGCGGCGGCAGAAGAAACTGACGGCGCAACGTCGGAGACAACAGAATCCAAGTGGGGAGATATTGGAGTTCTGGGCGGTTGAAGACGAACAGGATTTCGCCGCACACGCACATTACGTCCTGTATCCGAAGGTTGAGCTGCCACTCTGGCCGATGGCGTCTTTTTTCTGGTCGAGAAACGAGCCATCGTGAGAATATAATACTCAAATAATCTCTGGCCGCTGAAGACACGTAGTCTGACGGGACTGAGCTGAGAGAGAACAAGGAAAGCGAATACTAAAGGCGGCAGCCAATCGGCAGAACTAGGACTGACACTCTGAAGCAGGACGGAGGCAAACTCAAATCAGAAATCAGAATTTGAAAGCTGACTGCAGGCAAGGAAACTGGAAAGACAGCAAGCTCTGTTGTGCGTGCAGGAAATCTGCGCATGCGCAGAGCGTGGGCATGTCATGTCTATGATACACAGCAGTATGTAGAGAGAGCAAGATTGTGCACACACGTAAGGAGGGTTATGCAACCCGTTATAAAGGCCAACAGCGAAGCAATGGTATGTGACTGTTAACAACGGTTAACTCCAACATTAACCGAACATTTTTTTCGGCTGAACGGCTGAATCGAGCTCGGTGTGACCGCGGCCTAAGCAGTACGGCGTGCTATACGCAGTACGCCATGCTATGCGCAGTACACCATGCTATACGCAGTACGCCGTGCTATAAGCAGTACGGCATGCTATACGCAGTACGGCATGCTATAAGCAGTACGGCGTGCTATACACAGTATGGCGTGCGTTCTATTTATTTTCTGGCGGCAGGCAGATGGAATTCTCTTCCAGCTGACTGTCGATAGGCCCAGTCTCTTGCTCTGTTCATAAGCATGGTTAAACTTCACCTAGGGTTCCGAGTAAAGAGGCAGTAGCCTGTTGGGACTCCCCTAGTAAATAATAAAACTACTACTACTACTACTGCTACACCAACGTCTAGGGGCTAAGGGTTAGCTTCCCAGTACATGGATTGCTGTTACAGATGTATTGTCACGTTAAAGGGGCGCAAAGTTTACGGGAACACTCTCACGTGTTATTGGATGGGAGAGGGCAAGGGATGGTATGCACTATGTATACCGGCTCCCCATCGTATTTGGATGCTTTTGCCATACGCTTTCTCAACTTCTACCTGTTTGCCTGCAGTGTGATAGTGCAGCGCTCTACTTTGTGCTCATGTTTCTTGCCTGACCTTGTGCTGCAGGTGCTACATGTACTGACAGTGTTGGCTTTGCTACCTGCTCCTGTGCCACTGGCTTCACGGACAGCTTGTGTTCAATGGACATCGACGACTGCCAGCCCCAGCCTTGCCGAAACGGCGGCACCTGCCACGATGAGGTTGCCGGATTTAACTGCACGTGTGCCAGTGGATGGTTTGGCGTCGACTGCGCTAGCAACACAAACGAGTGTGCATCAACACCATGTGAGTACCAGCGGGCGTCAGTCAGCCGTGGGTATTGTGTTTGGCGTGATTCCTAGACATAACACTCAAACACAGCAACCAATGCACTGGGTTCTCGCCGCCATGACATGGAATCACTCCACACCATGTTTATTTTATTTTATTCCCGTAGCCATGCAAAAGACGTTACTTCAGTAACGTCTGGCGCTAGCCAGGGTCCACACAGCTTTAATTCCGTGTTTGTTTGTTTGTTTGTGCCATCGGCATGCCTGGCGCTATCCCGTACCTGTCCCGTACCGTACCATCAAAGACATCAATGCGGTGTTGTACGGTATAAGGATGTCGTATAGCATGTCGTACAACAGTACGATGAAATTATGGGAGAAACCAGCGACCGCTTGGGAACGATGAACATTACAACAGTCGTATTGTGAGTGAGAGTCAGGCCAAGTTTCTGAAGATCAGTAGTGAGTGCTATCCCGAGCATTGTGTTAGCATTACAAAAGCAATGAGAGTCAGGCCAAGTTTCTGAAGATTGGTAGCGAGTGCTATCCCGAGCATTGTGTTAGCATTACAAAAGCATCGACAGGATGCGTATTATAGGAGACCCAAGTTGCTGAAGATCAGTAGTCATTGCTGATAACGTGCAGAAAAACTAAATCCGCAGCCTCTTTTGCCGTCGGACAGGATGCGTATTATAGGAGACTGTAAAGTTATGTAATGTGCGCCACAGGCAACCATGCATTCGGCCGTCAGCAACAGTTCAGCACAAGCACACTATCAAGGCAAAGACATTATTGTATTATTGTATTGCATCGTATTGTATGGAATATAATTTTACCTCATTGGCTCAGCAGGTCAATGTATTACAGTCAGACCTCGCATAACCGCACACATCCGTTTTCCACAAAAATATCCGGATAGGCGAGGGAACCGGATAATCGAACACACATACTGTATGTAAGCATGGCATATGCTGTACATTTGTAACCAACTATTTTCTTCCGGATGGCGAGGGATCCGGATAAACGAGGACCGGATAAGCGAGGTCTGACTGTACTACAAAAAGCCATAAAATCCGATCATGAGGGGCAGTTCTAATAACATGCATGATAAGCTAGGCAAAAAAGCATAGTGTAGGGCCCTGAACTTCCAAGCTCTCTCGTTTTTTATACTCAACTCAATCACATAGGAAATAGAGGGCACCCTAATATGGCGAGCAACCCCGGAGATGAGAGCAATACCCAGCCATGAGCACTGCTGCACGGGTATACCCTTTTCTCATGCAATAGGGGACTATATGTTTCATGTTGGTCGTCACTGCAGGCACGAACAACGGAACGTGCACGGATATCGTCAATGGTTACCAGTGCACTTGCCCGAGTGGATTTACTGGTGACCATTGCCAAACGATGATCAACGAGTGTGAATCAATGCCATGTGGCAACGGCGGGACGTGTATAGATCTTCTTGCCAGCTTCAGTTGTATGTGTGCGGATGGTGAGTTGTTGCCTTATATTGCACTGGCTTACGTAAGACGGAACTCGTGCATAGCTTACGGTATACTTTCTTTGTAGCCACCCTTAGCCATTATCATTTGGGATGGCAGCGGCCCTGGGAAAGGAAAGCTTGATCGTGATAGGGCAGTGTGTAGTGGCATGCACATTTGGTTATTGTCCAGGGTAACACATACCTGTCCCACTTTCCACATAATTATGTTGCAGGACATTCTACAGCTCCAATGCACCTTCAATTAGTGTTGATCATAAAACTATCCCCTAGTTTGAAATCAGAACACCAACTCCATTGTTCACCCCAGTGTCTGGAGATGTGTGGAGTTTGTAGAAAAAAAAGAAAAAAGTGACTGTCTATTTGTGTGTGTGTCTGTGTCTTTGTGCGTATGTTTCAGGATTTACTGGCCTGATGTGTGAAACCAATGTGGATGATTGTGCTGCCCAACCATGTCAACATGGCAGTACATGTGTGGACGGCGTTGACACATTCACTTGCACGTGTGTTGCCGGATATACAGGTAAAGACACTAATAGGTGAAGTAATGCTGTCTTGTGAAGAATACCTTGTAAGAACCGGTATGTGCGTGTGTGTGTGGGGGTGGGGGGGGGGGGGAGTGGGGGGTCAACTTGGTGCATCTGTTTCAGAGAGGATCATTGTATCTTTCCTGGTGGCATGCTTATCCATTTGACAGCTGCCGTATAATATTATCGGAGTGCTGATCATCCAGACAGCTGTCAGTTTCCCTTCAGACCCTCCCATTTAACCTCCCCGGCTCAAACTAAAGAATTCGCATCACTGTTCTTTGCAATAAATACTGTATTGGAACCTGTACCATGCTGTCTGTCCCAGGCTCCAATTGCCAGACCAACATCGATGACTGCATCAGCGCTGTATGTGGTACCGGTGTTTGTGTGGACGGTGTCAATGGGTTCACCTGCAGCTGTGACACTGGATTTACTGGTAAGCTGGGTTAGTTACTAACACAATGTCACATGACGGTAGTCTAGGAGACGTCCAATCATAATGCTAGGAATCCTGGACAATACACCATGGAATCCCCCCCCCCCCCCTGTGTGCATGTACACATCCATGTGTTGAAAGGTATTATTTCCAGGATGGTGTAGTCCCAATGGTCATACCATACATCTTGCTCACAATACACCGCCACGACCTCCGAGCTACACTTATTCGGGAGAAAACAGCTTAATCCAGTTTTGGGCCAGGACCACCTTTATCAGTCTTCACACCCTTAGAAAAGTATATTATTCATGATGGTGTTATGATCCGTGATATCATGTTTCACCCAGTGCTGGTTGTAGTGGAACTACTACTAGACTATGCAGCGAACTAGTCCTCACGCTCTGGCATGCGCAATCAACCACAACACCAGTTCTCGGTTAGAAAAGGTTTGTAAAAAGAGAGATAGAATGTATGATCTGAACACTTCCAAGCAGGCAGTAGACTGACTCCCCTATCTCAGAGATAAGACCGGAAAAACTAACAGGGAACTCCTCGCGTGACTCGGAGATCGTCAGCAAGCAGCGGGAGCGAGGATGAAAGCAAAGACAGCCAGGTAGGGATACAGAAGCCATGCAGCGTGACAGGTGAACAATGGACACAGCAGTCCATGGTGAAACAAGACACCTAAAGGATAGAGTGAATTACGTGCACAGCATGAACGGGTCATGACTCATCTATGTCTGGAATGACAGCATAAGGCAACAACACTTCTGGGAGAGCCAGACAACAAGAATACTAACACCACTCATCAGAATAGAAGTACTAGCAGAAAGACTATAATAAGTATTGGCAGGACTATTGTTACTATAACAAGTCGGTTACAGTTCCTCTTCACCCCATCACCTGGTAACAATAGGGACTGTCGTCCAAACCGAGCTAGGTTGTGTAGCGACTCGGTGGTCGTATGCTGGTGCGGCTGCGCAGGCCATAACGGGGCACATCACTAGTACTATCACCTGCGTCAGCCTCGATCCACCAGACAGGTCCGCCGTCGTCACTATCGTTGTCATCATCGACGTCTGGGTGCAGCTCTGCGTCGGCGTCGGCTTCCTCAGGAACACCACTCTTCAACAGGTCAATGTTGACGGTCTTCTCCTTCACGCCTGTTGCACCGTGCTTATGAGAGATCACAACGGTGGAGGGCGACACAATCCGCTTCACGGTCCATCCTGTCTGGAACGGCGGAAGGCGCTTCTGACGGCGACTTGGATGTCGATACAGTACATGGTCGCCCACGCAGTAGGGGTTGGCACGGCATGGAGACTCCAAGAAGTCGGCGCTGGCTAGCTCAGACTCTACCAAGTCCCTTACGACGGCCGTGTGATCAGCCAGCTTCGTCACCCATTCGCTCAGGAGGCAATCATCATTAGCTGTCTCAACAACAAGATGCCGTGGCCGCCAGCCAATCATCGCTTCGGTGGGGGACAGTCGCGTGGCGTGGTGAGGCCGGTTTCGGTAGAAGAACAGGAGCACATCAAGATCCTGCTGCCAGTCAGACGTCGTGCTTAGCACCTTGCGAATGAGGCCTAGCAGCGACCGGTTCATACGCTCGGCGGCGCCTTGAGACTCAGGATGTCGTACGGCTCCTGTTCGTACACGAACCCCCATAACTTTGAACAGCGACTCCACGATGGCGTTCCGGAATTCTGTTCCATTGTCCGTCCTGACGACATCGGGGGCTCCCCAGCGTACGCACATTGAGGTGAATGCTGCGGCAACGGAGGCGGCGTCGTGACGACGAAGTGGACAGATCTCGGCCCACTTCGTGAATGTGTCTATGCAGACCAAGACGCAATGGTACTGTCCGCTGCTGTTCTCGCCAAGCTCCAGCGTGTCTAGGACGAGCTCACTCCAGGGTCGGCCAGGAATATCAGGGCGTGTAGGTGACGCCTGTCCGCTTCCAGACGGGTTCGCGGCTCGGCACTGCTCACAATCGGCGATGTACTTGCGACACACACGGGCCATGTCCTTGAAGAAACAACGAGCTCGAATCATCTGGTAGGTCGCCTCCCAGGCAGCATGTCCGGAATTGTGATGGGCAATGGCTACAACTTCACCGACCAGCACGTGGTTGAGACCCTTTGTTCTGATGCGCCGGATGTTACCCAAAGTATCGCGCAGCCAGCTGGCCACCGTCTTCGAGTCGGTTACAAGGCGGACGCGTCTCGCACCCCATGATACTGCTAACGAAAGGCCGTTGAGCGCTGCATCCAGTTCCGTGACGTTGATGTGACGCTTGTCATGTGATTTCCTCAGCCAAGCCTTGTCCTCGATGACGCCGCTGCCATCCTTGACCACTACGCCTAAGGCAACATCGGATGCATCGGTGTACACGACGAGCTCTGGATCACTGGTCGATGGTGTCACTGACCAGACACCTTTGGCTGGATCCCCATCACCTGCTAGCCGGGCCATCACCTCTTCGCAAAACTTAAGCACTTGCTCCGACACGAGGTGATCCCACGGCGTGTCACCTCCGACTAGACGCTTCAGGAAACTGGTAGCAGGTCGTAGCCACCCGCAGACAGGCACATGGCTGGTAAGGCGTCCACACCAGCTGAACAAATCCCGCTTTGTCGCTGGTCGCTGGAGATCAAGGCTGATGCCGTCGCGTCGAGTCCAGTGTGTGTCACCTCCTTCTCCCGTGCTGAGCTGCAGCCCAAGGACCCGAGCGGAGGCCATCGGCTCGGCGGGCTTTGTCGGCAGGCCGTACTCGAGCAGCCTAGCAGCAACCGCCGGGACGTTGTTGCGCGGAACTCGGATATCGTCGACATAGTTGTCGGCCATCGGGAAGCCCTGAAGTATCCACTGGATGACTATGTCCATGAATTTCGGTGCGATGTTGAGTCCGAAACCCATTCTAGTCATAACGTATCTCTTCCCTTGCCATAGCACGGTCTGATAGCGGACGAGCTCAGGTTCGACACGGATCTGCAAGTACGCTTTCCGAACATCCAGGAGGCAGAAGTCGCTTGCATCGCCGTCCTGCCGCCATTTTCGCAATGTGTCTTCACACACCGGGGCATCCTGGCCTGGTTGTGACGTGAGCTGGGCGTTCAGAAAGCGGTAGTCTAGGCAGGGACGCACCGGAGTTGTAGGCTTGTGCTCCTGCACCTGAGCGAGAAGAGGGAGCACCGCCGCTGGTTCGCCATGGACATCTGGATCATGTCGTACCAGCCATCCTTCATCAATCCACTTCTTAACTTCAGCGCAAAACTGCTCTTCCTGTTTGGATGACAGCTTCTTCCTGGAGTACTCTCCAATGTTCGGACCAATGCGGTGGCAGGGCTCGACACCGTCTTGCCAATACCACTTCAGGCTCCAGTGGCCTTGCTCCGCGTGCCACCTCACTTCGCCGTCATTCACCCGCAAGATGACGTCCTTACCATCGCGGATCACGTTGACATGTGGAGATGGGTGCGAATCCTTACTAGGCTCCGTGGTACACGCGGCTGCTGGCGTCGTACCGAACGTCACGGCACTCAAGGAGTTGTCCTCCCCGTAGCGAAGCTGTACGCCACCATTACCGACCACGACGTCATTGCCCACCAGGATGTTAGCCGATACAGCAGTCAAATCTCGCACTACCACCGCTGTCACTACGGTTACTGGTAGCAGCACTGGGCCATCCAGTCTGCGCAGTTGAAGTTGCACTGTGCCGCATACGTCAAGCGACTTCCCATCCAGTGCAATCAGATTCTCAGAGTACGCACTGTCAGAATCGAAGTTTCCTATTCGCTCTGCAGTTTTCTTATCGATCAGCGTACGCGTTGAACCGGTGTCCAATACTGATCGCAGACGGTGCCACTCGTCAGAATGATGACTCACACTGTTCTTGCGTGCCTCCACGAAGACCCGCGGTAGGCCGCCGCGCTGCGCTGTCACCGTGCACAGACAGGGATCGCTGGGGTCCCACTCGCCTTTGGGAAGTCGGGGTTGCTGCTCCGTAACGCCAGCAGCAGGACGCTTCTTCGAGTCCAGCCACGCTTTCCTGTCAGGACAATCGGGTTTCGTGTGACCAGGCTTGTCACAAAAGTAGCATGTCACCTGATTCCCCTTGTAAGCGTTCAAGGGCGTCTTGGCTGACTTCGAGCTGCGCTTGGGGCAGTTGCGACGAATGTGGCCAGCCTCGTGGCAGTAGTAGCAGGTCACGGTCCCGCGATCAGTCGCACTTGATCTGGCAGGGCGATCACTTGGGCCAGCAGCGGCAGAAACGTCCTCGGAAACAGCACCACACGCTTCCGCAGCCGTTCGCAGTGCGCGTACCTGCTCAACGCACTCGCTGATTTTCAGCGTCTTGCCAGCCATGGACATCCGCACGGAGCGAGCGAACTCTGCACCCAGGCCAGCGATGAACTGCTCGATCACCACTGAGTCAGTGTCGCTACCGGCTGCGTGGCCAGACAGCGCGAGCAGCCGCTGGAGGTCTGCAACGTACGCATCTACGGACTCGTCGACCTTGAGCTTCCTGTTTACGAACTTGCCATACGCCTGCGAAGGCGTAACTGCAAAGGCGGACGATAGCTTGGCCTTTACTTCATCTACTTTCTTTTTGTCCGCATCCGCCATCCTCGAAAAGACCAGGAACGCATCTCCATCGAGAAACAATGGGATATACTTCGTCTTCTTGGCGTCATCATCCCATCCAGAGATATCGGCCAGTGCCAGAAACTTCAGCCACCACGTACCGAAATCTTCACCTTTTCCACGGAATGCGCGCAGATAGTTATCTGCCTTCAGCGACATCACGGACTGCGAATACGCTCACTAGTAGTACCGACTACCGACCGCACACAGACACCAGTGCAGCCACAGCCCCCAGGTCCCGGGTTTCGGCACCACGCTGTAGTGGAACTACTACTAGACTATGCAGCGAACTAGTCCTCACGCTCTGGCATGCGCAATCAACCACAACACCAGTTCTCGGTTAGAAAAGGTTTGTAAAAAGAGAGATAGAATGTATGATCTGAACACTTCCAAGCAGGCAGTAGACTGACTCCCCTATCTCAGAGATAAGACCGGAAAAACTAACAGGGAACTCCTCGCGTGACTCGGAGATCGTCAGCAAGCAGCGGGAGCGAGGATGAAAGCAAAGACAGCCAGGTAGGGATACAGAAGCCATGCAGCGTGACAGGTGAACAATGGACACAGCAGTCCATGGTGAAACAAGACACCTAAAGGATAGAGTGAATTACGTGCACAGCATGAACGGGTCATGACTCATCTATGTCTGGAATGACAGCATAAGGCAACAACACTTCTGGGAGAGCCAGACAACAAGAATACTAACACCACTCATCAGAATAGAAGTACTAGCAGAAAGACTATAATAAGTATTGGCAGGACTATTGTTACTATAACAAGTCGGTTACAGTTCCTCTTCATGGTGAAAGCAGTACCTTTTTGTTGGATTGGAAATGGTGAACTTTTCACTTTGGTCTTCCATGGCTGTTGCAGGTGACCGATGTCAGACAAACATAGATGATTGCAGTGGAGTATCATGTGGAAATGGTGTCTGTGTGGATGGTATAGACACATTCACATGCAACTGTAATGCAGGATTCACAGGTAATGTCCTAAAACCGGCAGTCATCGTGTGTCATTGATGCCAGATGCCATAATAACACTTCCTTTATATGAATGAAGGAGTTATCATATCATGACTAAACTTCCTTTCGCCTCTGCTGTACTGCACCTTGCATTGAATGTAGTGCACATGATATAGCTCGCTTAGAAGTCCCAACAGCAACTGGGATTGAATGTCGTGTTGGCTAGCACAATGCTTGTGCTTCGGTTTTACATGCACTCTTGTTATATATGTTGGACTCAGTAGAGCGTCCAGCCCCTATATGATGTCCAACCCCTATATAGAGTCCATTGGTCCAAAATCCACTGTACAGAGTCCAAACTTGGAATCAACTGTGAGCTCAAAGTTTAGATGGACATCACTCCATGTATAGAGTCCAGCCAATTGGCTTCACCCCTATATAGAGTCCATTGGTCCAAAATCAACTGTACGGAGTCCAAACTTTGAAATCAACTATAAAGATTAAAGAGTCTTATGTGGACAACACTCCCTGTATAAAGTCCAGCCAATTAGGCAATCAGACGCTGCAAATTACAATATCTCAATCATGTAATAATAATAATATTCGCGGGATCCGCGTTAGCATCACTTGAATGTTCAGAAACACACAAGCTATAGCCTTCGCTTCCGCAGGCCACCACTATGCCTTTACACCTTAGTGGCGTTGCCAAATAATTGTGCACGCACACACACACATGCACACACCCACACAACGCCAAGAAAATACCTAGAAAAAAAAACAAGAATCGAAAGAGAATAATGGAGAGCCCAGGATTGATTATTCGTTTTCAAATTATTGCGCGCGCGCTCGCGCGCACACACACACACACACACAAACTTATACAACGCCAAGAAAACACCAAGAAAAGAGTAGAGACACAATACACACGCAACTCCAACAGCCATGCAAACGTCCACCCATTTACAAGTAAAGTCAAGAGGGATAACAAATAATAATACGAAACGAATGCATACAGGGACGGGTACACGCACGTTTACATACACGTAGTAGTGTAAGAGAGTAACATAGTGCAGTGGTCAGCATAATACTAGCACATGCTGAGAGTGAAATAGCAAGCTTCGCCATTGCTCATGGCCATGCAAATGTTCAGCAGCACTCAGTTCCGCAAGCTTCTGAAGATCAGCACACCTGCAACAAATAGATAGCACAAGGATACGCTTATTACCGTAATGATGCATGGGAGCACACAACTACCAAGTTCTCAACGAATGTGATGCTCCATGAAAATCAATCCACTCAAAGACCTGTGAACAGGTGACGGTGGGGACAATAATCTATTAGTAATACGAGGAATAAGATCGTTTGTGCACACTCAAGACGCACAGACACACCACCATACATGTAGTGTACACAGTGTTTCACTTCACTGCAACTAAATTGAAATTCGATGATTTGAACAATCTGTACAGCATTGCCGTCAGTCAGTCTTCCCCAAGATGGAAATGCAATGATTTGTTGTTACTAGGCAGTTTCACTGACACAATGTCATGTTCGTGACATCAAAACGGTTACTTCAGGGAATACGAGTATTAGCTTGAGAAGCTTTTTCTTCAAAAAGTGTCATTGGCATACAAGCAATCCTCCTACTACTACTAGTACACTGGCACTGCGTTTGTGGATCCCATTGTATTTGACATCATACTAGAGGAATAGTGTCGTGGAGTTTCACATAATTATCACAGGGATAAAAATACATTTCTCATGAAATAATTATAAAAATTGATGATAGCTAGACGATCGTATACGATTGATGCAAAGTCCTTGCAGTCCTTGGGGACTATTACGAAGTGGTTGATTACTTTTAGGGCATTCATTCAAGCAACATCAAACAAACGCGATGCGCTCCTTGAAAATGGAAAAAAAATTTCAGCATAACGAAAGAACAGCAGACCAATCGAAACGAGTAAAAGCTTCCTTACCTCAGTCATCGTCCTGCCATGTAGTTGGACAGCCTTTTGACACGGTGGTACAGGCAACTCTTGTCCAGTCAAACAGGGGTATCCTTGTGGCGTCGAACGAAAGAGAGTGTCAGTGTATCTGACTCGTCAGATTGGAACTGTGCTGAACTTTTCTCTTTCTCCGGTTTCTGCTTTCATCCCTCGCTCTGATGAAACCGTTCAAACGTCTTACTGGCAGCAATGGCCAGCCAAACAGGGGATCCTTGTGGCGTCGAACGAAAGAGAGTGTCAGTGTACCTGACTCGTCAGATTTGAACTGTGCTGAACTTTTCTCGTTCTGCAATTTCTGCTTTCAACCCGCGCACTGATGAAACGTCTTCAGAGAACCACAAGACGCTTTCCAGATTTGATTTTGAACGTCTCCTTATCCTCCTTGGTTACCTCGAGACAGATTACTGTCAGCAACTTCACAGCAGAACTGGCAGCCATGGCTGAAGTGAAGAAAGGAATGCGCTGCCACCAGGCAAGCAAAACTGAAAAGGTGTTTGTTCTTTTTCGGGCACAACACACAGGACGGCGTGACTGGATAAACTGGACTCCTGGACTGTGAATAGGGGACTGGAAGAAAAAGTGTACTCCTTATAGGGGATTGCGCGGCAGGTTGAAGCTGATCAAAATTGAGTGGACTCCTGGACTCTGTATAGTGGATTTTGGACCAATGGACTCTATATAGGGTGCTGGACATCATATAGTGCATGGACTCTATACTGAGTCCTACATATACACTGCTGGCCAGTAAAATTAAACTCATGAATGCTGAACTGTGCCTGCCAACTGCACAGTTCAGTATTTATACTACTAGGCCTGCCGAGTTTCTGGCCCGATGATATTGTATTCTGGAAGGCTATATTTTGCTGAGCAGCACCTTAGAAGACCTCTTCGGCTTGCTCTGTGCTTGTGCTTGTGTCCGTCTTAGGCTCAAGCTGCCAGACCAACATTGACGACTGTCTTGGCGTAACATGCGGAAACGGAATGTGCATTGATGGCATCGATGGCTTTGCCTGCAGCTGTACCTCGGGATTTACCGGTGAGTTGATGTGTGAACTGATATGCGCCAGTGGCAAATTTATGAACTACCCAGCCGATGGAGAGAGGAGAGAAATTCCCCGAAAATTATCGCCAAAGTCACAACCACGATTTTGTACTATCCAGCCACTGTATAGAAGTAAATATCAAAACTGACTGCGTCCGTCCCCATCTATGTGTGCAGCGTGATCTTTCTAGTGTACAGCAGGATCACTTGTGTGTCTGTACTTCACACTTATGCGTTTGAGGTGCTCCACCGACAGCATATTGTAGTCACGGTAATGCATCTACCTCTGACCTGATCCGTGTAGGGATGACTATTGCTCTGTGCTGCTTTGGTGATTGTTCTATGGCTGTTGCAGGTGACCGATGTCAGACAAACATAGATGATTGCAGTGGAGTATTATGTGGTAATGGTGTCTGTGTGGATGGTATAGACACATTCACATGCAACTGTAATGCAGGATTCACAGGTGAGGCTCACATGTACTGCTATCATAGCTGTGTTTCTGCCTGCATTCCATTCACAACATGTTATCCTTTCATTCTTACAGCCCCAATATTAATTTTTGGAAAAAGAACTAAGGTACTAGAATCGAGCCTGACAAATAGTGTGACCGGCCCACTTGGTTACACATTGCAATACCCTCTGCCAGTAAAGGCAGAAGTTGTGAGATAGAACATGCTTTGCTGCTTTGAAGCATTACAACAGGCTTCACCAATGACTCAGTGGACTATCATGTTTGCTCATCCTCTTGTTGCTGTACTTATTTACTTCTCTGTGGCTGTGTTTGCTCAGGTGCCAGCTGTCAGACCAACATTGATGATTGTGTTGGAGTGACATGCGGCAGTGGAGTTTGTGTGGATGGTGTGGATGGTTTTACGTGCAGCTGCAATCTTGGATTCACAGGTGTGTTTTAGAGAGCAGCAAGGTCATTCATTGTCTATCATCTGCTACTATGCTAAGAATGGGCGAATGCATCCTTTCTTTGGCCAGGACTTCAAATGATTAGGAAATATCAGTGTCCATAGCCTCCATGGCAAGTTGCTGGCTCTGTGCATAATGCACTCCTAGCCAAATATGTTTTGCCTAATGTAACCTAGTCATGTGTACGGCAGGCAATTTTGGTCCCATTTCCAGTTGATATCTACACTGTGATAGAGAGAGAGATAGAGAGGGGGGGGGGGGCATATAATTATGCATAGATGTGAGTAGAAAAAATGTGATAGCCACGCGATATTCCAGTTGCTCTACATGGAGTTTTGACAGAGATATCGTCAAAGATAGGCATACGTTTGCCGTCAAGTGACCCCACTGTAAATATTCATATGTTCGTTGTCGACTGTAGGCTCAAGTTGCCAGACAAATATCAACGACTGTAGTGGAATTTCCTGTGGAAACGGAGTGTGCCGTGATCTTATCGACCACTTTGTATGTCAGTGCAACTCTGGCTTCACTGGTAAGACATTTGTAAATAGAGTTCTCGGCATTCACAGCATCAGACATTATCGATCATTTTCACGAAACAAAAAAGTTTAGTTTTGACCTGAATCCGGTACCCTCCGCTTCTTAGTCACGGTCTTCTACCATCCTGATGTCAACTGCTATTAAATATTGCATGCAATGGCAGGCGCTTAGCTCGCATGGGGCACGAGGGGTACGTGCACCACCCTAAAAATTTCGACCTAGGTTCAGCATGCACGTTATGACCATGAAGACATGCACCAGGCATCCTACACATACATTGAATTCGGCCGTGCCCCCCCCCCCCCTCCCTCCCAGGGGGAGCAGCTACACCCGCGCAGTGTTGTGTAGAATACTAGGTATGCGTTTACGGCATGTCCCCATGGCTGCATATGTATCCATTCATCTTGAACTTGTGCTCTGAAAGTGCGATGTTGGACATAGCGCACGGAGAGAGAGAGAGAGAGAGAGAGAGAGAGAGAGAGAGAGAGAGAGAGAGAGAGAGAGAGAGAGAGAGAGAGAGAGAGAGAGAGAGAGAGAGAGAGAGAGAGAGAGAGAGAGAGAGAGAGAGAGAGAGAGAGAGAGGGAAAGAGAGAGAGAGAGTGGGAGAGAGAGAGTTACATGTTTGGTGTGCTTACCAACTGTTTCATCTCTCTGTGTGCTGTGGCCGTGCAGGTGACCGATGTCTGACAAACATAGATGATTGCAGTGGAGTATCATGTGGTAATGGTGTCTGTGTGGATGGTATAGACACATTCACATGCAACTGTAATGCAGGATTCACAGGTGAGACACACACCCTGTAGATATTATTGTGGCGCTAAGCGCAGACCATGTAAACACCAGGGTATTCCGCTGTTTTATAGCACCTGCATACTTAAAGATCTGCTAGAAAAGACCTTCAAAATTAGCATGACTCGTCTAGCTGGCTGCGCTAGGCAAGACCCTCTTGCATGAAGGCAACTATGTGGAGATAGAAAATGCTTTGCTGCATAGAAGCGTTACAACATGCTGCACCAATGACTCAGTAGAGTGCCCCGTTTGCTCATCCTCTTGTAACTGTACTTATTTACTGCTCTGTGTTTGTTCAGGTGCCAGCTGCCAGACCAACATTGATGATTGTGTTGGAGTGACATGCGGAAATGGAGTTTGTGTGGATGGTGTGGACGGTTTTACGTGCAGCTGTAATCTTGGATTCACAGGTATGTTGACAGCAAGATCAATGTCTATCATTTTGCTAAGAATATGAGAGTGGAACCTTCCTATGAGATAGGAAATATCAGTGTCGCTGGCTTCGTGGGTAATGCACTCCTAGTCACACATAACCTGGCTAATGTAACACAGTGTTGTGTACAGCAGGCTATCTTCGTCCCGTTCTAGTTGATCATATGGGATAGAAAGAGAGGGGGGGGGGCACATACATGTATCTAGATCTGAATAGCAAAATGTGATCAATGTTCAGGTTTCTCTACACGGATTTTGGCAGGGATATTGTCAAAGATAGGCATGTGTTTGCCGTCAAGTGACCCCACTGTGATTGTTCATGTGTTGTTGTCCACTGTAGGCTCAACTTGCCAGACAAATATCAACGACTGCAGTGGAATTTCCTGTGGAAATGGAGTGTGCCGTGATCTTATAGACCACTTTGTATGTCAGTGCAACTCTGGCTTCACTGGTAAGACATTTGTAAATAGAGTTCTCGGCATTCACAGCATCAGACAAGCTAGATTAATATTCCTTGCCTTAACAATACAGAATAACTCTCAGTCTGTGTTGCTAAAGGCATCTGACATTATCGATCATTTTCACGAAACGAATAAGTTTAGTTGAACCTACTACCCTCTGTTTCTTAGTCACAGTCTTCTACCATCCTGATATCAATTGCTATCTACTACCGCACCTTTGAATTTGATGTGTATGCAGTGGTGTGTGGAATACTGGATATACGTATGCTGTGTGTCTCCATAGTTGCACGTGTATCTATCCATCTTGAACTTGTGCCCGGAAAGTGTGATGTTGTGCATAACTGAGAGACGAACAGACAGACAAACAGACAGACAGACATACAGACAGACAGACAGACAGACAGACAGACAGACAGACAGAGTAACAGAGTGAGAAAGAGGGGAGGGGAGATAGGGAGAGAGAGAGAGTTTAAAAAATGTTTGATATGCTTACTGACTGCTGCATCTCACCGTATTCTATGGCTGCTGTAGGTGACCGATGTCAAACAAACATAGATGATTGCAGTGGAGTATCATGTGGTAATGGTGTCTGTGTGGATGGTATAGACACATTCACATGCAACTGTAATGCAGGATTCACAGGTAAGATCTACAGTCTGCAGATGTTAGCTGTGCTTCTACCTGCACATCATCTACATTGTACAACATAGTAATCATTTTTTTACAGCCCCCGATACAGCCTCCGATACAGCCCCCGATACAGCCCCCGATACAGCCCCCGATACAGCCCCCGATACAGCCCCCGATACAGCCCCCGATACAGCCCCCGATACAGCCCCCGATACAGCCCCCGATACAGCCCCCGATACAGCCCCCGATACAGCCCCCGATACAGCCTCCGATACAGCCCCCGATACAGCCCCCGATACAGCCTCCGATACAGCCCCCGATACAGCCCCCGATACAGCCCCCGATACAGCCCCCGATACAGCCCCCGATACAGCCCCCGATACAGCCCCCGATACAGCCCCCGATACAGCCCCCGATACAGCCCCCGATACAGCCTCCGATACAGCCCCCGATACAGCCCCCGATACAGCCCCCGATACAGCCCCCGATACAGCTCCCGATACAGCCCCCGATACAGCCCCCGATACAGCCCCCGATACAGCCCCCGATACAGCCCCCGATACAGCCCCCGATACAGCCCCCGATACAGCCCCCGATACAGCCCCCGATACAGCCCCCGATACAGCCCCCGATACAGCCCCCGATACAGCCCCCGATACAGCCCCCGATACAGCCCCCGATACAGCCCCCGATACAGCCCCCGATACAGCCCCCGATACAGCCCCCGATATTCTTTTCAGAATAAGAACTACTAGAAACAGGCCTTAGGGCGCGCTCACACTGCGACCAAAACCAGCGTCCATGCGGCCATGCGGCCAAGTTGCATGGCAACGGCATGAACTTGACCAAAACTTCGCGGCCACGTTTCAAATCGTGACCGCGACCTCCGGAGGGGGGTGCCACGACTTGGCGGCAACATGATCGTAGACGTGAAGCGTATTTGTGTACAACCTGGCCTGAAGTATGTTCAATTTCTCAAATTCCGGTGTGTTGATTCATGAAAATCGGCGGTTGTCGATGTCACCTGGACATTTGCACATTTTTAAAATTTTGTAGTTGTGGTCCTGCACGCACGCACCGCCATATATGCATTCTTTGCCCTTTTTGGACGATGTCGATTTTGTTTTTGTTTTTGTAGTTGCTTCGTTGTGATCGGGTCAGTGACCAATTTCTACAGTGTACTCGTTCAATACGATGGCAGCTTGGTCTGGCTTTTCGGTTTCGGAAATCATCTTTCTCTACTTTTCTGCGATGATGGAATGCCATACCTCAAGACATTTCAGTTACATATCACCGGAAAATACAGTTCTCATCTCGGCAACAGACGAAAGAAACCACTACCGGAATTTCCACTGCACTGGCACTTGCTCTGACCACGAGGTCAGGAAAGCGAAAGCGCTTGGATCATGGATGTCAGCGGCAGTCCCTCAAGAGTCCAAACCGACCTGATTGTATGAATTATTTTCGTCGACTTCAAGAATACGAGCCAGGAGCCACGAGGCACTTCCTCCAACATGCAACATGCGAAAAATTACATCCAAAACGGGCCACAACTTTATTAGGAAACGCACGGACTCTTTTGGATACGAACTGCAATTCGTAAAGTTTGTGTGACAACTTCACGTCTACGCGTGTACGAGGCCTAGTGTGAGCACGACTCCCACGTTTCTGCGTTTTGCTGATGCCTGGACGCGTGCTCATGGTCGCAGTGTGAGCGCGCCCTTAAAGATAGTGTGACCGGCTCACTGGGCTATGCCTTGTGAGACCCTCTGCCAGGAAGGCTGAAATATGGAGATAGAACATGCTCAATTGCATTGAAGCATAACAGTACTCAGCACCAGTGACTAAGTGGAGTGTTATGGTTTCTCCTCATCTCGGAGCTGTATGTATCCATTGCTCTGTGTCTTGTTTTGCTCAGGCGCCAGCTGTCAGACCAACATTGATGATTGTGTTGGAGTGACATGCGGCAATGGAGTTTGTGTGGATGGTGTGAACGGCTTTACGTGCAGCTGTAATCTTGGATTCACAGGTGTGTTGTTAGAGACCTGCAAGGTCTTTGTCTATTATCTGCTACTATGCCTGCTAGGAATGTGCGAATGATTTTTTTTGTTTGGAACAGGAAATATCAGGGTACCCAGCCTCAATGTGTAGGTGCTGGCTCTGTGGGTTGTGAACTCTTTGTCTAATGTAACCTGCTCAGCTTAATTAACAAGACCCTGAGTATCGAAGGCAATAGATGCGCGAAATCGCGCATCTATGAGCGACATCCACATAAACTGCTGGGACCATGGTTGTGTACTCGAATCTCATTCTGAGCACCCTTTTTTCTTCCTTTTTTCAGCCGTTTTTTTGCGAAAAGTCCTCGAGCTCGATTTTTTTGATCGATCGTTCTTCAAGGAAAGACGAGTGGACAATCGATCAACAGGGCCGAGGACGAATGCGTCTGGTTGGAGTTCTTGCGTGGCACAGGATGACCAGACACACATATAGATACATTGCAACGATCTAATCTGCACAGTGTTTCCTAATACCGCACGCACGACGGTAAGTACAATTCATGTGATTTCAAATTGTTTGTGATCTACAACGTCGCGAGCAGGACGGAAATACAGCAACAGCACGACAACCGTTATACCAGGCAGTAACCAACAGTCACCTCCGTCACATTCTCCAGATCAGAAGGCAAGTGAGGCAGTGAACATGAAGAAATAAAGTATGAAAGAATGAAAAGTGAATAATTCAAAAATCTCAGAAACGTTGAACGTAAAAAACACTGAGAACAAGAAAAGTGACTTACTTCGATGGCAAAAGACAAAGCGAATGTTCCTCGTATGGACCTGGCTCTTGCGGAATCAGCCACACTGTGGAACCATGTGTTTGATTCCACAAGGGATGGCTACCTGCTCCTCACCAACCAGCCTCCACGACGGTGGTAAAGTTGCCAAAAATACGAAAGTTGAACATTTTGTGCATGCATGCAATAGAAAATTTGTGCTGAGTATGTCGAGTGGCCATTCGCACAGGACAAAGCCGTTGCGCAAGCTGTGACCCTGAAATTTCGTCCATTGGTAGCGAGGGTAACCCTGAGCTGGAAAGTGTAAGGGATGGCATGCTACACTCCCCCGCATACGCTTGACAGCACGATTTGAGGCGTGGAGTAGTAATATACCAGTATCTTACTACCCCCTGATACCTGATGCATGGACGTCGTCATCTTCATCCCGCAGATCGAAAATGTACAGGTGTCGCGTGATTTCGCGCAATGTACTTTCCTGGTAACCCAAGTTGTATGCTTGTGGCATAGAAAGGGGGAAGGATAGGGAACTATATGCGTAATTACGAATGACAAAAATCGATTTCCATTCAGTGTTCAATGTACTCCACAAGGGTCAATGACAGGGATGGCTTTTAATGGATGACTGGATGGATGGATGGATGCATGCATCCAGGTTAAGTCGTTCCATTTTCTTCAACAAAAGATGTAGCTTCCCTTGGTCTTGCAGACCGTGTACGCTCCATGCCCCAAACTGACTGGCTTTTGAAATGGGGAGCACAGAGGCAGTGTAACGTGCAATAGCGCTCAAATGCCCGGAATGGGCAGAGCGTAGTATGCAACCGGTTGTCTGATGATTGGTTTTTGCCGTGAAACTCTGAGTAACAACAGAACAGCCCTATTTTTCTTCCTTTTGTGTACCTCTTGCGAAATGGGGAGCATAAATTTCCCTTAAGTGACCCCACTGTGATTGTTCATGTGTTCGTTGTCCACTGTAGGCTCAAGTTGCCAGACTAATATCAACGACTGTAGTGGAGTTTCCTGTGGAAATGGAGTGTGCCGTGATCTTATTGACAGCTTTGTATGTCAGTGCAGCTCAGGTTTCACTGGTAAGACATTTGTATATAGAACATTCGGTATTCACAACATAAAACAAGCTTGATAGATACCCTTTACTTAACAATGCTCGATAACTCCTCCCCTCCCCCCTCACACACACACACACACACACACACACACACACACACACACACACACACACACACACACACACACACACACACACACACACACACACACACACACACACACACAAACACAAGCACACACGCTTGCACAGATGCCGATACATGTTTGATGTGCCTGCTCACTGCTGCATCTCTCTGTGTTCTATGGCGGTTGCAGGTGACCGATGTCAGACAAACGTAGATGATTGCAGTGGAGTATCATGTGGTAATGGTGTCTGTGTGGATGGTGTAGACACATTCACATGCAACTGTAATGCAGGATACACAGGTGAGATGATTGGGATGGTGCATTTGCAGGCTAGTTTAGCGCAGTGCAGCATGAACTCAGTGCGATTATTATACAGAGTAGCGAATGTTTGGGTCTACTGAGCTCACACGCACACGGAAGGAGGGAGAACAAAGTGTTGCTTGCTAGCCCGGTCTAATGCTGTGCGATCCTCTGGTGAAGAGTACTATCAAACGTAAGGAAACTCTGCCCACTGAGGTATCAAACATTGTGTGGATAGAGGAAGAATTACTATTAATTTTTGAGCTCACCCTTACACAGTCAGGTGTCTGCATGGATACATACTGTGCCTATAGACTTTGCTTGTGGGCCTAACATGTTAGTCCTGGCATTCAGTTCCTACTTTGCTTGATAAGACAGTTTGGTGCTGTGCTTTGTCATTGTCAATGCTTCAGGCGCAAGTTGTCAGACGAATATTGATGAATGTGTTGGAGCAACGTGTGGCAGTGGCGTCTGTGTTGACGGCATCAACGGCTTCACATGCAATTGCAATTCCGGATTTACAGGTGAGCAACAAAAAAACTTTGAAATCTCGTCCTGAAGAAGATTGCTATTATTTCAAGTTACTACTATTACATGGAGACATAGTGAATGCAGGGTTGCTTGTTTCTAAGTACTGGTTGCACATAACCCACGCAGTGATCTGCAGGGTAGACTTAATCCACGCACACCTCAGCTACCGTGACCTTCCTGGATCCGATCCTGAACTAATAACAATGAGAGAGAAGGAGAAGGAACTACAGGTATTACCACACTATGAGCCAGGTCTTTTTCTGGTTGAAGTGGTGCATTGTCGTGAATTACAGCTTACGGTATACCCGATTGTTCGTTGTCTCAGCTAAACTTTAACCTTTAGCTCAAAAATATGAACTGGACATCCTGATGCTGGACTGTAATCAAACTGGGGACAGCTTCAACGTGTACTGGACATAGTGTCCAGGTCACTGCAGAGACCGTACTCTCCCCACAGATGGCTTTATGAGCGTGTCGTCTTCTACTTACCTGTCGCAGGTGACCGATGTCAGACCAACATAGATGATTGCAGTGGAGTGTCATGTGGTAATGGCGTCTGTGTGGATGGTATAGACACATTCACATGCAACTGTAATGCAGGATACACAGGTAAGAGTTCACAACACCCGACCAGTACTGAATAAGTGTGTGCGGCAGGCTATGACTATTCTTTTATTCTCATTTTCGCTCACACAGCAATGGTTCAGTACAAGGGGTAGTGGTCTACCAGAGCAATCTCACTCATGATACACATCTAGATTGTGCGTAATTGATCCCAGGCTTCATGAAATTTCACTGCCAGAAATAGAGTACTCCTGCATGTCTGTTTGTCTGCTTCTGTGACCTATTTGACCTATTTGACCTCTGTGACCTCGCTGTGACCTTTGTGACCTCTGTGACCTCTGTGACAGGCTCGCAATGCCAGACCAGCCAGAGCACTTGCCTGACCCAGCCATGCCTCAACGGAGGCACGTGCACAGATGACATTACCGGCCGTATGTGTACCTGTGCGGCTGGATGGACAGGCACAGACTGTCAGACACAGGTAAGATGCAGAGCACTTCCCTTGTCTCACTCTCAAATATCACACCCGCATCAAGTAAACTTGGAATTCAATGATGGTAAAAAAAAGGAGAAGGACAAAACGTTACGAGTTATGACCAACTGTCCACCAACGTAACCAGATCATAATATTATGCAGTCAGCGAGTGCGACAAATGGCACAAAACTGACTACTGTCCTTTTCCTTTTTGACCATTATTATAAATTGGTCCACCATCCGAATTCAATGATGATATTGAATACCGTACTGGCAATATATGTTGCCGCGTAACGCGTAACGCAGGGGGGTGCGGCGTAACGCGCGACCAGGCTAGTGCGACAAATTTTCGTTGAGTTCGTAACGCGCGTCCGGCGGGGTGCGGCGATCTTTTCATTGCAGTTTGCACTGCAAAAAAAGGCTGAAAACTGTGAAAGCACGTGTACCGCGTGGTGAAAAGTAGTTTTTGGAGGAAGCGCTCTTCCCCTATGTCACTTTCCTTTTGACGATCTTTTTGTGAACAGATCACTCTGATAGTCAAAATATACAGTCTTCTATTGATATCGTTGTCGCCCTTTGCCGTCGGGTTTGGAACAGTTGGATAGCAACTGAATTTCTGTGCCTTCAATGTGGATGAAAAGAAAAAAATGATGCGGCAAAAGCAAAAACATGATGCGGCAATAGCAAAAAAAGTGATGCGGCAATAGCAAAAAAAGGACTGCGGCAATAAAGAAACCTGTGTAACGGCTCCTGTGCGACTTTGCGTGTAACGCCCTGCGTGCGGCAAACATGTGCCAATGTAACGCTTCATGGCCTCACTGCGGCAACATATATTGCCAGTACGGTACTATGCGTGTATACGTGTTTCGTGTAATTTGCCTTCAATTTGTCTGTTCCTCAAGTTTTTGATGAAGCCCAATAAAAAGGAAAAAAAAGTTTCTGCTCGGGTTCGAACCGAGGACCTTGTGCGTGTGAAGCACACGTGATAACCGCTACACTACAGAAACATGTGATGTTTAGAAGAAGAGCAATCGTACTAAGCCCGTGAAGCTCAGAGAGTGCAAGTTCCGCATTGTGTTTAAGTACTGCGCGTGCGTGTGATTCCAAATGTGATCAAGCCAGTGCACACCTGGAAACAGTGTCACTGTATTTTTCTGGAGTAAAAGCCGCACCAGACTATAAGCTGCACCCAGATTTTTGTCACAAAATTGAGACATCTACCCTATTTCCCACCGTTAATTTGACCATCGTAGTGTAAAAGCCGCACAGACCTTTTTGGGGTGAATTACTGGTGTCTTACTGGTACGGCTTTTGCTCCGGAAAATACGGTTATCATCAAGGGCTTCAAGTTCATTCTGTTGCTGGTCACATATGGAGCGATAAGTGCATTTGCTTCAACCAGTGTAACGCTATGTCTCCTTTCGGTGTGTTGACCTTGTATATGTATGTCCCCTTCCTGTACATTGGTGTGTAGATGAACGAGTGCATGTCAACACCATGCCAGCACTCAAGTACGTGTCATGACACCCTGAACGGCTATACGTGCTCATGTACACCTGGGTACACAGGTGTGCAGTGCCAGAGCAATGTGGACGAGTGTAGCAGCGATCCGTGCACGGGCAACAACTCCACCTGCATGGACATGATCAACGGCTTCATGTGCCTCTGTGAGCCAGGGTGAGTTCACCTCCATCACATCCTGACGGGAGTCGTAATATTATTATGTACACGGAACAGCAGTGGAACAAGGCTAGTTCGTTGCAACTGAGTTGCATGCTCATACATCAGTGCAATCATGAGGCAACATTGTCGTACTGTACTGAGCACTCAAAAGCCGTATACATGATTGTATTGCCTATCACCGCATTGTCACGTCGGACGATGAGTCATAATATTACAACTGCGTGGATCCATCACAAGAGTGTCGCGTAATGTTGTTGCTCGTAATAATATGACAACGCACATGTATATATTGAATGTGTGCAACACTGTACAACCTTCACGATAGAAGGACACGGTCGTGTAGTAATCCTACCTTATAGCAGTATTGTTGATTTCTGTTATGCATGTCTTGTTTTTTTCCTGCGCAGAGTAACTGGAAGCCGCTGTGAATCATCCAGCACGGCCTGTGACAGCATTCCTTGTCTGAACGACGCCGTGTGCGAGGCCAACGCCACGACCGGCGAGTACAAGTGCTACTGCGTGCCTGGCTTCAGTGGTCTGCAGTGCGGCCTAAACGTACGTGAATGCCTGGCAGTACCGTGCGCCAACGGAGCACGCTGCATCGACCTGCTAGACGACTTTGCTTGTGACTGCAGCGGGACTGGGTTTGAGGGACGCAACTGCTCGGTGGACATCGACGAGTGCCAGCGGGGAAGTCCCTGTCGGAACGGCGCCACCTGCAGCAACACCCATGGTTCCTATCAGTGCGCCTGTGTGCCAGGTTTCACCGGCCAGGACTGCGACGTGGATGTCGATGATTGTCTCGGCGATCCGTGTCAGAACCACGCCACATGTACGGACACCGGTCGTCAATCGTTCAGCTGCAGTTGTCGTGCCGGCTTCACAGGGACGGTGTGCGAAACGAACATTGACGATTGTGAACAGCACACATGTCAGCACGGTGCGACGTGTGTTGATGGCGTTGCCCTGTTCACGTGTCAGTGCGCTAGCGGATACACCGGTACGCGATGTGAGACGAATATCGACGATTGTTCTCCGCAGCCGTGTAGCAACGGCGCTACTTGCACGGACCTGGTCAATGACTACAATTGCACGTGTGCACCGGGATGGCATGGTCGCGATTGCGACCTGGACAGGAACGAGTGTGCCAGTATGCCGTGTAGTAATAACGCAACCTGCCAGGATATTGTAAATGGCTATGTGTGTACGTGCCCGGCCGGTTATACGGGGTCGATGTGTCAGACTAATATAGACGAGTGTGCGTCCGCTCCGTGTCATGCCGCGTACGGGACGTGCGTCGATCACATCGACGGATTCCACTGTGACTGCGTGGCGGGCCGGACTGGTCGGCTGTGTGACGTTGACATCATCGAGTGTCGCAGTGACTCCTGCGCTAACCGGGGAACATGCACAGACGTGGTGAATGGCTTCACGTGCAACTGTGCAGCCGGATTCACCGGAGTGCAGTGCCAGACGGATGTCGATGACTGCGCTCGTGCACCAGACCAATGCAACAACGGCACGTGCGTGGACCTCGTTGACGACTTTCGCTGCGATTGCCTGCAGGGCTTCACCGGCGCTGTGTGCGACACTGATATCCTGGAGTGTGTGTCCATGCCATGCCAGCAGGGTAGCTGCGTGGAGGGCATCAACGGCTACCAGTGCGCTTGCAACCCTGGTTACACTGGCATTCTGTGTGGTGTGGAGATTGACGAATGCGTCGGCGTGGACTGCAACAACGGCAACTGCACCGACCTGGTGGCCGGATTCCGCTGCGTGTGCGAATCCGGCTTCACCGGCAGCCGCTGTCAGATTGAAATCGATGAGTGTGCGAGCCAGCCATGCCAGAACAACGGCACGTGTATCGACATGACTGATGACTACTTGTGTACGTGTGCGATGGGAACCACAGGTGACCGCTGTGAAATTGAGATCGACGAGTGTGCCAGCCAGCCGTGCGTGAACGGCATATGCCTGGACAGACGCAATGCATTTGAGTGTAGATGTACGCCGGGCTACACGAATGCCAGATGTTCGGAGAACGTAGATGAATGTCTGAGCACCCCGTGCCAAAACGGTGGGACGTGTTTGGACGGCATTAACAAGTTTAATTGCACCTGTGTACGCGGCTATCAGGGAACTCGGTGTGAGCAAAATATCAATGAATGCTTGCAGCAGCCATCTCTGTGTCTGAACGGTGCTACATGCCACGATACAAACGGCTCCTACGTGTGCGCGTGTGGCGACGGATTCACCGGGCAACACTGCACCACGGACATACAGGAGTGTGACTCCAGTCCCTGCAGCCCTAACGGTCAGTGTTCCGAGCCCACGCCTGGTCACTATAATTGCACGTGTGATCAAGGATGGGCCGGAGACCAGTGCCAACTGAACACGGATGAGTGCAGGTCGTCGCCATGCCTGAACAATGGTACGTGCACAGACCTCACCAACGCCTTCAGCTGTGCCTGCGTGAGTGGATTCACCGGACCGAGATGCGGTGTTGATGTCGACGAATGCTTGTCCAATCCCTGCGTGAACGGCACGTGTCACGATCGGCCGGGCTACTACGAATGTCTGTGCGTGCCGGGTTTCTTCGGTGATCAATGCCAGACGGATCGCAACGAATGTGCAAGCTCACCATGCACTGCGGGTAATGGCCGCTGCCATGACGTTGTCAATGGTTACCTGTGCCAGTGTGATCCAGGGTTCACGGGCGGCCTCTGTGAGACAAATATCAACGAGTGTAGCAGTGATCCGTGTATGTTTGGTGGCACATGTGTGGACGGTCGAAACCAGCACCAATGTCAGTGTGCGAACGGATATACTGGCGCGCGTTGTGAGGTCAACATTGACGATTGTGTCGGCCATAATTGTGTGAATGGTCTTTGCATAGACGGTGTGGCTTCGTTTACCTGCCATTGTGATACTGGTTTTAATGGCTCTACGTGTGCGGAGGATATCGACGATTGTGCGGTGGACGACACTCTCAGCGGTCCATGTCTCCAAGGCAACTGCACGGATCTCGTCAACGACTTTTTTTGCACGTGCTTTCCAGGATTCACCGGCCGAGACTGTGATGTCAATATTGACGAGTGCTCGTCACAGCCCTGCACCAATGGAGCATCGTGCAGAGATCTGGTGGATGCGTTTGCTTGCGACTGTTCCGCTGGCTTCACTGGACGCCTGTGTGAGACCAATATCGACGATTGTGCCATCGCCAGCGCCGGCCTGTTGCAGGGAGTATGCGGGCAGCAGGGCACCTGTGTAGACCTGGTCGGTGCTCATCGATGTGTCTGTGATGCTGGCTACACTGGAGATAGGTGTCAGACGGAGATCAACGAATGCGCCAGTGCTCCGTGCATTAACAACGGCACTTGTACCGACGAGATTGCGCGGTTCCGTTGCACATGCCCGGCAGGATTCACGGGAGAGCGTTGTATGACAAACATTGATGAATGCCAGTCCAATCCGTGTGTGAACGGTATCTGCCGCGACCGCGTCAACGGCTTCATGTGCTTCTGCATTCCCGGCTATCAGGGTTCGCGCTGCGATTTGGAGGTGCGGGAGTGCCTCTCCGATCCGTGCCTGAACGGAGCGACGTGCGTGGACGAGCTCAACCAGTACCGCTGTCAGTGTGCGCCCGGCTACAGTGGGCAAGTGTGTCAGATTGACATTGACGACTGTCTGTCTAACCCGTGCCTGAACAACGCCACATGCGCCAACCTACCCGGCCGGTTCGAGTGCACGTGTCCGGTCGGTTTCACGGGCCCTCAGTGCGAATTTGAGATCAACTACTGCCAGCCGCATCCGTGCAATACTGGCTTGTGCATCCACAATCGTGTAGGCTACCAGTGCTACTGTCCAGCCGGTGTTCTGGGCACAACGTGCAATGAAGACTTTGACGAGTGTCGCTACTACTCCCCGTGTGCACCAACGTCAACCTGCATTAACCTGCAGAACGACTATGCGTGCAACTGCTCGGCTGGCTTCACTGGGCTCACGTGTAGCGAGAACATTGACGAATGTTTGTCTCAACCGTGCGGCATGAACGGTTCGTGTATTGATGGTGTCAACGGCTACACCTGCACGTGTATTCCGGGCTTGACTGGACCACGCTGTGACGAGGATATCGACGGCTGCATCGACCACGCCTGCATGAACGGTGCCACGTGCCGCGATCGAATGGTGGGTTTCGATTGCGCGTGCCTCGCGGATTTCACGGGCAGGCTGTGCGAGACGCAGATCGACGATTGCGTGCCGTTTCCGTGTCGTAACAATGCCACGTGTGTTGACGGCGTGCGCTCGGCGTCCTGCCTGTGCCAGATGGGCTTCATGGGAGCCGATTGCGGTGTGGGAATTAATGAGTGTGCGTCACAGCCATGTGTAAACGGATCCTGCATGGACATGCACAATGCATTCCGCTGCCAGTGTGACGCGGGTTACACTGGCATGATGTGTGCGCAAGAGCTTAACGAATGCATGTCCTCGCCCTGTGTCAACGGCGGCACGTGTATTGATCTGGTTGCCGACTACCAGTGCACGTGTCCGAGTCACTCTACTGGACGTGACTGCCAAGTCGACGTACTCGAGTGCGCATCTAATCCGTGCGGTCCGGGCAGCTCTTGCCTCGAAGGCAGAGGGCAGTTCAGCTGCGTGTGTCCGCCAGGGCTGACCGGCTTGCTCTGCGATCAGGTTGTCATTGCTTGCACTAATAATCCCTGTGTGCGAGGTACCTGTCAGGAGCTGGGTCTGGGCGTGTTCAACTGCTCATGCCCAACCGGCTACACAGGCATGCTCTGTGAAGAGGACGTGAATGAGTGCAACGCTTCGCCATGCACCACGGGCTCTACATGCACCAACCTCCCTGGCTCCTTTGCGTGTAACTGCTCCTCAGATCGTGCCGGTCAGTTCTGCCAGGTGAACACCACGCTTTGCCCATACAGACCCTGCGTCTCTGGATTCTGTACTGAGTCATTTCGGTTTGGAGACCAGTTTGACAGCCAGGGATTTCATGTCCAGCCACGGTATGGCATGTGTGTCTGTCCACTGGGCCGGACTGGTGCGTTCTGCGAACACGACATTGATTTCTGCTCCATGCAGGCAAACGGTTCTTCTCTATCAAGCAGCCCATGCCTGAACGGAGCCACGTGCCAGGACGGCGCCGCCATGTATACGTGCCTGTGTCCCCCCGGTTTCACCGGCTTCAACTGTGAACAGAATGTGGACGAGTGCCAGAGTTCACCGTGCTCTAACGACTCTGCCGCATGCGTGGACGGTATCAACGGGTTCAGCTGTGCGTGCAACCCAGGTTTCACTGGCCGACTGTGTGAGACGGATATTAACGAATGTGACAGTGTGGCGTGCCAAAACGCCGCAACGTGCACTGATCTGATCCACGACTATCGGTGCGAGTGTGTTCCTGGATATACCAGCCGTCATTGCGAAACCAATATTGATGAGTGTTTGAGCATGCCGTGTGCATCGAACGGTACATGCGTTGATCGTGTCAACGCCTTCGAGTGCGTCTGTAGTGCCGGTGTCACAGGAGTGTTGTGTGACGTGTCGGTCGATGATTGCGCCTCACAGCCGTGTGTGAATGGAGCATGCCATGACGGTCACAACATGTACACGTGCGTCTGTACACCCGGCTATACTGGACAACAATGCGAGACGGAGCTGCTGGAATGCGCCAGCAATCCCTGTAACAACGGCTCGTGTGTGGATCTGATCAACACGTTCCTGTGCAACTGCCATGCTGGGTTCACCGGCCGTACCTGCCAGATCAACATCAACGAATGCGATGACTCGCCGTGCAACAGTACCGGCTCGAGCAGCTGCACGGATACCGCGGGAAGCTTCCTGTGCAACTGTTTGCCTGGGTACACCGGGCAACTATGCGGGAGTGATGTTGATGAGTGCGCCCAGGTACCTCACCCATGTCTGAACGGCGGACATTGTAGGAACACGGTGTTCCCGTATACTTGCTTCTGTGCCCCGGGCTACAACGGTCGGAACTGTGAGGTGATGATTGACCCGTGCATGAGTAGTCCCTGCATGTCCGGTACTTG